AGGTGAATTTTTTGGTAACAAAAAAAAAATATTGTAATAAATACCAATGTCTTTGTAGAATAAAATGCCATTTTAAATTAACATTTGTCATCCTACGAATTTATTATTTTAATAAGGTCTAATGGACAATTTATCATTATCATTGTTTTGCAACAAAAGATGATTTGAGGAGCAATATGATTATAAAATAAATAAAAAAAAATTGGAATGAGATGATATTATTAGAAATTGACTAAAAATTTTTTTATATCTTATAAACATGATACCTGTATTATAATTTCTTTTTCTTATATAAATGAAAAACTTTGATCAGGGCTACCTCTCATTCTGGAATGATAATATTTCTTATACTTTAAGAGGATGTATTCTTATGGAACTTGCTTTTCGTGGTCGAATAGCCATGGTTAAAGAAGCAGCTCGTCGAAAATGGCCTCTTTCAGATAGGTTCATAGAAGTCATTGATGATAAGGGGACAAATGAAGTATTGTTGGATGAAGCATTAAAAATGATGAAAACTAGTGAACATATGAGCGTTGGAAGTTGGATTGATCTAATGAGTGGTGAGTTTGTATGTCTGATAAAATGAAAAGAAATTTCGAATTACTTGAGTTTTTTAAATTTGTTTCTCTTTATATTACATTTTTTTAAAAAAAAAAATTTATAGGTGAAACTTGGAATGTAATGAAAATTGGATACCAATTAAAACAAGTACGAGAACGTTTAGCAAAAGGATTAGTAGATAAAGGGATTTTAAGAACTGAAAAGAGAAATTTTTTACTTTTTGATATGGCAACTCATCCTGTTAGTGATTCTTCAGCAAAAGACGAAATTGTTAATAGAGTCATTAAAACTTTAACTCATTCTACTGCAGCTACATCATTAAATTCTGAAGTACCTTTTAATGATTTACGTACTATATCAATGGTATGCGCCGCTTATGCTGCTAATGTATTAGAAAATGCCTTGTTACAGTTAAATCATGAATTAAGGGAAAAAGCATATGCAAAAGTTGATGATTTATTAAGTGAATATTCTGTTTGGCCCTTTTCAAAAAAAGTTAAAATTGATATTCCTGAAGGGAAAGAATTACAAATTGAAGTGGTGGCTGCTGTGTTAAATGTCTTTACAAAAATGGATAGTATTTTGTAAAAATATACTGAATATTTTTTTTGTAAACATTCAAGGTATCATAATTAATTTTTGAAATGTGAATTCTTTATATAACTTTTAATACTTTATTTTTATATGTAACTTTTGTTGTAATTCATTCAATCGTTTAAACTAGTTTAATTTGTCTTTTTTTTTCCTCCTTTGTTAAAGGAAAAAAATAATAATACTTTGGTAGATGTAAAATTAATTACACGTTCGAGATCTTAATATAGATATTATAATTTTTCGTTTGTTATACATTTATGGTTTAATATGTAGAGTACTTAAAATTTGTTGTTAATTAAATTTTCTTACTAAATAAAAGAACGAGCGCATCGGACTATAATTCTTATTAGATTTTTTCTTTCCCATATCATCATTCATCTCAAAGATAACTGAAAACCAACTATAAATATATCTCAATATTCTAAAATTTCCTTAATGGCATCATAACATCTAATCATGTCTGGAACATAAAATTTTTCGAATACTAATGGAAACGGTGTGCTAATAATGGAAAGAATATATATATTTTTTTAGGATGATCATCATTTTTTTTAAATATAACTAAGAAAGAAAAGAAAAGAAACCTACTCCCATCCACAAACTCTCTGGACTGGTGCTTCAAGTCTTAAAAAACATCTTTCCATTATACTTGTTGCTACTTCAGCAGCAAAACCGGAAGTTTGAGGTGCCTCATGAGCAATAACCAACCTTCCAGTTTTATTCACAGATTTTGCAACAGTATCAACGTCCCAAGGTAACAGGGATCTTAAATCTATGAGTTCACATGATAGACCAGGAAAAGTTTTCTCCGCCAATTGAATGGAATTTTCTAGAACATAAATTAGGGATCCATATCCTACCACAGTAACATCTTTGCCAGATTTGAGAATCTCGGCTTTACCTAAAGGAAGTTCATAATCAACTAGTGGAACTTGTTCAACTAACATACGATAAAAACCCAAATAATAAAAAAGGTTGTTATTGGATTAATATATATATATCATTTTTTTAATTTGCAAAAAGAGAATCATCAACTTACTAGCAGCACGATATAAAATTTTCGGTTCAAAAAATATTACAGGATTTCGATCTCTTATTGATGCTAATAAAAGACCTTTAGCTTGTATTGGACTTCTAGGCATGATCACCTTTACAATGAAAAACAATTTATAATTGAAATAACAACGATTGATATTCTATCATTTATTTAAACTAAAGAGACCATCGTGAAATTTTTTAGGTGCAATCGTTTGAAGTATCAACCAAATTTACGTAAACTTGTATTTAAGGTATAACTCTCGTCTAACCCATATTTGTGTAAACCTTTATAAGGACTGTTAACAAACTTAAGCAAACTTATCGTAAATTAATGTTTACACAAACCTTACAACTAAAAAATTTCCTGATTAATGGCTTACCTTTAGTCCTGGTGTGTGAGTAAAGTATGCCTCTGGTGATTGTGAATGATAATGTCCACCATGACCCACAGCTAAACAAGGTGATCTGACAGTCAAACCACCAACATTGAATATACCACCCGAACGGTATCTATATTTGCTAGCTTCGTTGACAAGCTAATTTTATATCAATTAGAAATGTATGATTCAATATAATAAAAAAATAAAAAAAAAGTACCTGATCAAAAGCCGGAAATATATAATCTGCGAATTGAATTTCAGCAATAGCTGTATGGCCCATTGCCGCCATTCCTATACCAAATCCAACAATACCTTGTTCAGACAATGGTGTATTGAACACACGATCTCTACCTATTAATTAATAAAGAAATAAACTCGTAAAAATATATAATAAAACTTAGTGATACCAGCCGTTGAAGTCGGACTCGACTCTGCAAAAACAAGTATATTCAATTCCAGTGACTCTGTAATATAGTGTCAGTACATCGCGATATTCTCAATTAACTTTATTCTGATCAAATATACAAGATAATTTCAACTGAAGTGCGAATTAAATTTCGGTTAAAAGATCATTTGAGAAGTTTGCTATTAAAATCATTATGATTTACTACGCCTCTTAAATATTTTATTATGGTCGAATCAGTCGAAGATGAGTCGATTGAAAATGAGTTGAATCCAGAATTTTCCACGGCTGGTACCATTAAATCAAAACTATAATCGCATAAACATTACCAAATGTTTCGGCCAACCCTAAAGTACAGCGGAATACTCCACCGAAAGCCACATCTTCACCAAAGATGACTATAATTTATTAGACATGTTACATTAATTTGAAATAATTAAAAAGCATAAATATAATGATTATACACCTGCCTGCTGTCTCATCAGTTGCCAATGCAATACTCATTGCATCATTTATTGCTTGGAACATATTCATCTTTTTTGTCTCTCCTGGGTAATCATAAATCGATTTAAATATAATTAATAAATAATTAAATTCGTTTATAAATTAAAATAAAAATACCATTTATGACTCCAATATCAAATTCAGGATTTTTCAAAGCTGCTTCTTGTGTATTTTTTATAAAACTAGACTGAGAAACACCAGGCATAAAACCTTCCGCTGAAGGTGGTGTATTTGTCTTTTGAAGGAACAAGCTCGTTGCATGGAAAGAAGCCTATAAAAGAATTTATTGGATATATTGTGCAACGTAATGTGCTTTTAATAAAATAAATAAATAGAGGAAATACCTTATTTTAATACCTTTTTGATTAATTGATTTCTAATTATTGATTTATTAGGTATGTTCGTGAAATTAGGAAGTAATAATGAAGTCAAACGAGAAATTCGCATTTTCATATTCTAAACGAGAGGAGAAATAGAGTTTAACACAACCCCCAATTTTTAAGTACAAATTACGTAATATCATTAGCCAATTAAAATTTAGATAAATGAAAGTCGCGTAAAAATTACTCGCGTTACTAAATGTGGAAATTTTTATTTAGAATTATAAAGCTCATTTACTAAAGAAAGTATCAAATTAATATATTTGTACAACTTTATTATTATTATTATTATATTTTTTTTTAGTTCAACCCTATTTACCAAAATATATATTTTTAATTTATAATAAGCAAAGGTAAAGGATTTACAAAATGATTAACCGATATGAGGTTGCAATTGATAATCAGCCATAGCCTAAAAGAAAAAAACATATAACTTTAGTTATAATAGTTTTTTTTTTTAAAAAAAAAAAAAATTTACTCACTACAGAATTGAGATTCAAATCGTGTTCAGATTGATCAATATGTGCCACAGTAATGACAAAAGATTTTTCAAGCTTATAAACAGTATCACCGTGATAATAATTTGCAATTGCTGTAATTTCACACGTCTCTGAATTCATATCGGGAGTACCTGTCAAAATATTATTTTCCCAACGAAGCCATTCTGGTAACCATGGTGAGTGAAATACAGCTTTTATAGCTAATAAAAATGAAATTGTTTTAATGGACTAATCTGAAAATAAGATTATTTTTATACTTTTACTTACATTTAACATTAACTTGTGGATCCCAAACTCGAGGGGCATAAGTATATTTTGTTCCAACATAAGCAATCTTGTCAGGAATTCCAGCTATTTTGCGAGTAAACTCGCGAAATATCCACCCACCAGCAGGTGTTTTTTTGGCTTCAATATTCCATACATGATTACCCTTGGATTTGGCTTTTTTACCATCCTCATTAAATCGAGAGATATATCTGGTTTGTTTTTTTTTTTTAAAAAAAAATTATTATATAATAAAAAAAGATGTTAATGCAACAAAAAAAAAAATTCTATTAAACCTTTGTGTCCACAAATAATTCTTCACTTTTCTTAACGGTAACATATCTTCGTTAAATCCATGACGAAGTAATTCTTCATGGAAGGCATTAGTGAATGCTTGAATTCGAAATTTGAACGGACGAAAGTCAGGAGACTCATCCAACTTTTGCATCTTTTTTGCCATTAAAGTCTGATGACTTTTGTCAAAAAAATAAATTACCACGGTCAAAATAAAACAAAACAAAACAAAATCAACTCGTGAAATATCAATAATTTTCAAACCTACATTTGTTCACCCTTGGAATCAGTAGCATCCACTATAAAAAATTTATAAATATTAGAAACATATTATTTATATTAACACCATATTTATAATTATCATACATACAATTAGAACAAATGGTTTGTAAAAAGCTTATGAATATATCATCAAGATTTTTCAAAAGCATGGGATCTAACGGTGCATGTGTATGTGTGCGTGTCGGATTTTGAAGTACAACACCCTGTGGAGCAAAAATTGGAGATGGCTATAGGTCACAAAAAAATTCAAAAATATGAATATTAACCATGAAAGATAATAAATATTTGACACCTTGATTAATAATACAAACCGGGGCAAAATGATCGCTAGTACTAGCTAAATCACGAACATTAACAGAATACACTTCGCTTGTTATGGTAGGAGTATCTTCAACATTCGATTTTATCGCTTTCCTAGGTTTTTCGTATTTTACAGTCACAGCTCTCTAAATCATTTTTTTTTAAAAAAAAAAAATAATTTTGTTTAATAAATCGATGTGATGCGATTAAAGATAATTAATTGAAATATCGGGCGAACCTTATTTGTTTTTTGGTGTGGTACAATAGGCTGCACAGTCGTTGATGGAGATGCTTGTGGCGTAGTATGAGGCGTAGCCATGGAATGCTTTTGTCACAATTAGAGTCAGTCATGTTTAACAAATACAGACATTTAGAAAAAAATAAATAAAATAAAAAAAAATAAAAAAATACAAAGGAATATCGGTTAAAAGATAAAATATCTTAATTATAAAAGGAATTTACCCTTAAATTCTATTAAATAAAGTAAAACGTGAGCATAATTCAAAATATGAAAGTAAAACTTTGGAAAAATTAAACACCATTTGATTACCAGTTGTTCAATATTTGTTTTAAAGTCTTTCAGCACATTAATAGTTTTTGCGATATCTTCAAGACGATTAAAGGCCTCGCTTTCTATACCCCGTGCAAATTGTTCTTTGGCTTCTTGAGCCATCAGAACGATGCTACATATTTTTTGAAATCAGCGTATGTTGTTATTCACATTGAATAAAAAGTAAAAGTTATCCAGACTTGATCCAGACAACCTTCCAAAAACAGTTTTTATAATATTTCAAACAAGCTAATAAAGTCGTGTTTATGATATTCCACGCGATGCTTTTGTGCAAGTACCCTTCTTTCGGTCACTAAAAGAAAAGCTAGTTAAAGTAAGACCTAATAAACCGTACCTCTCAAAAAGTTGGGTCACATTCATATTCATTTTTTTTATCCAGTAATAGTAGATAGTATCAAGTATTAGTTGGGGTTGCTTCCTTTGGGGTAGGGACGTTGAGGGGGACGCTTTTTGCTGAAAAAAAGAAGGCCTCTCGAAAGAGGGGTTTGAAGGAAAAAAAAAAAAAGTGTTACTAAAAACTGAGATGATAGTTGTAATAAATGAAAGTCGGAACCAAATTTATCCGTATGACTCAAAATAATATGTTACACAGTACTTCTATTAATATATATTGACCATTTTTTTATGATTATTAGGATTAGATCATTAATATTATTTATATTAATATATATAAGCACTTTCAGTAAAAATAAAAAAAGGGAAATTACAAAAATTAAATTTTACTTTATTTACTAAATATGATTTTTTAGTAAAATAGTTCAAATTTAATATTTAAAAAAAATTATTTTTTAGAATTTTTTTTTTTTATAATAAGTATCAATAAATTATACTTATAAGTTTATTTTTTTAAATAATAACAATAAAATTTATAAAAATTATATAGATATTTTATAATAATAAGAAAAAAATTGTTAAAAATATAAATAAAATTTAATATTAAAAATTTTTATATAAAAGCTTATATAAAATAAAATAATTATGATTTAAAAATAGTTGTAATTAATTGCAATATTTATAATTAATTTATAAAATATATTATAATTAAAAGATTAATCAATCATTATAATATATTTTTTTAAAATTATAATTTAATAAAACTTTATTAAATTTAGAAAAATATTAGAAGTTTAAGTAAAAAAAAAAAGCTATTTAAAATATTTTAAATTACAGAGAATCTTCAAAAGTTTATGCATATAATTGTAATAATTAATATTATAAAAATAATTTAGTCTTATTATATATAAGATTTGAGCTAATACAAATCATTAGTTGCTAAAGATATCAATATAATTATTTAATATATAAATACTTTTAATAATTTTTTATAAATTAATTAATATATTTTATTTCTTAAAAATCTGTGATTCAAATTAACTCATATTTTTATATTTTATAGAATTAGATTATATTAATAATTTATTAAATTTTGGTTTAATTCAAATTACTAGATTATGAAATATTTAACAATAATGATCATATATAAAAACTTTAATATATTTTGCAAATTTTTATAAAATTTTATATTATTATTATTTTAAATTTCTTGTTAACTAGCTTAAATTTTGATATATTATAAATATATTATTTATCTGTGATATATAAAAGTTTTATTTAATTTGAATTATAAATTATTAAACAAATTAATATTAAAAATATTAAAAAGTATGTATAAACTTTTGAAACCCTCTTTATTAATTATTTGATTCATTATATTTAGTAGTATCAGTCATGAAAAATTTTGGAGTTGATTTAATCAGCTATTAGATACTTTTCAGTCGATTCAGCTATTGATTGAATAGAGACTCTTATTTGAAATTAATGATCATACTTGTTAATGATATTGTTTGAAACCTATTTTAACGTGTAGCTTAAAAATTTAGAAACTATTTTGAAACTTAAAATATTTTTTTAAATCTAAAACTTGATGAAACTTAATTAAGTTTAGGAAAATCTATTAGAAGTTTAGGTAAAGATATTTATTATAATAAATAGTTTTATTTCAAATATCTCGAAACTAAAAATAGTTTAGAGAAGCAAGCATCTTTAATAATTGTATTATTAATATTTTAATATTTAACAAAATTTTTTAATTTAATTAATATTACGAAAAGTAGATAATTATAAGTTTCATCACAAATAATATTGACAAAAATTCCATTTGACTAAAAATTTAAAGTTTTATTTAATTAAAAATTTCATAATATTCTGACTTTATATTAAATTTGAAATAACAACTCAGTTATGACTTAGTTATTGAAAATTCTGAAGTCGACTCTACTTGATTTTTGTAGAGTTGACTCAACTGTCAATTTTGACTCTAATAACTGATACTACTAATTATATTCATATTATATTTTAAATTTTATTATGTAAAAGCATTTATTAGAAATTATTATTAAATTAGAAAATATTATACTCTTTAACTTAAAAATTTGATTATAATTAAAATATAAAATAAGATTACATTATAATCAAAGCTACTTAAAAAGTAATTATTATTTAAAAATTTGCTTAATTAAATATTTTATATAATTAATTAAAATTGAATAATAATATTATCAATTTAATAATTAAAATTTGAAAATTAAAATAGTAAATATGTTAGTATCAGTGTATAAATCTAAGTTAAAAAGTATTTGTATAAATTGATAAATTATTATTAAATTAAGAAAATCATAACATTTGTTATGTAAAATTACCTTTTTTGTATATAATTTATCTATTTTTAATAATAATTTTATGTTATGTAGTATGTACACACAAAAATTTAATGTTTATATACACTTTATATATAAATTTTACATATTGATTAGTATATTATTAGGTAATGAAAACTATTATGAATGTTTGAAGCATTAATCAACATAAAAAATCTTTAATAATGTTTATTTATAAAGTTAAAAATACGATTAATTAAAAAAAATATACTAAATTAAAATTATCAATTCCTAATTTAAATAGAATAATTTAATCATGTTCTATAATTATGTCATGTTGATCTTTTTTAAATAAAATAAATGTTGAAAAATGAAAAAATTAAGTATTACATAAAATGATTAACAGAAATATAATTAGCAGATCACGTGTCATGACAGACACTACATACATAATTTCAGCTCTAATCAGAAATATCCTACGCTTACGTTTCAGATAAATATATTAATATGTTTCACTTGAATTAGATTAATATTAGTAGTCAAATATATCATATATAAATTAATTTTATAATTAATTATATTTGTATAACTGTAATTGAAAATTTTACTTCATAATTAAATGTTAAAAATTTTAATATATACTGCTTATATAAATTAAATAATTGATAGCATATCATATAGGAAGTTTATTAGAAAAATAGGATTTTAAGTATTTTTTAATACATTTTAATTTTTGATAATGTTATATAAAAATGTAATAAAAATTAAAATTTTAATAAAAAATTCTCAAAATCCCATTTTCCTAATAAACCTTCTATATAATCTATATATTTTTTTTCAATAATTTATCTTTTTAATAATTAGTTTTTTCTTTAATAATTATAAGAAATTTTATTCTAAAAAAGCTTTTTTTTTTTAAGATCTTCTTAAAAGTTAAAAAGAAAATATGATTTTAATAATAAAAATAAATATAATTTTACATAAAAAAAATAATTTCTTTGATTGTAAAAGTAATTATTTAATAAGTTTTATATAAAATGCAAAAAATTAATTTTTAAATTTAAAAAATTAATGAATAATATTTAATTAATAATTATATTATAAATTAACAAAAGAAACAATTTTTATTAAGGGTAGAATCAATGTTAATTATTGCCAATTAGTAGATCATTAACAAAAAAAATAAAAAAAGTAGTTGAATTTTATACAAAGCTAATTTCTATAAAATACTAATAAAAATTTATGCTATTAAAAAGTAAGTTTTCTAAGAATTCAACTTTTTATTTTATAAAAATAAGTTATTGTTATTTAGTTATTTTCTTAAGTTAAATAATAAATATATAATATAATATTTTTGCATTACAGTAATCAAGTTTCTTATAAAATTATAAAGCAGTAATAAAATAGTTTATAACAAAGTTTCATTGCATATCATTATTTACTAATTAATACATTTTATAATATAAACAATACATTATCATAGATAATGACTTTCAAATAATATATTATTTTTTTTAAGCAAAATTCTAATAATTAACAAATTATCAGGTATTCTAATAATAATTAAATAATAAATGATTTATCTGCTAGACTTTGTGTTTTGGATTTACATAATAAAGCAAAAAAAACATTTGACTTTACTTTTAATATTATAAGAAATATCTTTATTGCTAAAGAAAAAAATTATGATACTAGATATTTTTTTTTTATAATTAATAAGCAGAATGAATATTAATTCTATTATTATCTAAATATATCAGGATTGGCCTAATGGCCAATGGATTCAATAAATCAATAGCCAATGGATCCAATAGATATTGGTTTATTGAAAAAGTCCAATAGATCTATGGGAGACATTGGATCTATTGAGATCATTAATTTAATTGGTTAATTTATTATATATAAATTTAATTAATTT